GACTCCTGTGTTTTTCGACTGTGATTTGAGTCCCAGATCCAGTGGCTTAACACTCATATCAGGTACATGTGTGTGCATGCCCGAGGTCCCCAGAGGAGAATGGAGGAGAAGGACTGCAGCATGGCCATCCCCCTGGGGTTGGGGGTTTTCTTGCTTTCTGTCTCTCTCTGCCCTATAGCAAAAAAAAATCTCTCTCAAAAAGAAAAAAAAAAAAAAAGCAATCTACCTGGACTCTTTGGGTCATCAAAGTGCCTCTTTCACTCTGAATTACATGCAGTAAGGAAAGTGTTTGCTTTTCATATAAACAGAAGGAAACAAAATAAGAAAAATATCACCAGGCTGTCTCCCTAGATAAACAACCACACTACATTCACAGGCATCTAATCAGTAAAAAATTTTAATGTCCAAGTTGTCTTTTGGGAAAGAGAGAATTAGTTCCTAAACCTATTGACTAATATATCCTTTCATTTATTATAAGGATGAGCTTAACCTCCCTTGAAGTTTATACCTTAATTTTACTAATGTATTTAGTAGATTTAGAAGGGGAAGAAAGATTGAGTTTTATAAGAAATTCCCTGTGTTAGCAAGCTTAGGGCTACACATGTGTATTGGCACAATTATTATGGTTTAGTATCTTACACATAATATTTCATGAAAATATTTCATGAAAAATATTAGTATTGTCTTAATTCTGATTTTCCCAAGAACATTAGTAACAATTTGATTGTAAAACTCTGTTTACAGCTTTTCAAGAATACACAGAATAAAATGAGCACACTTAAATTACTAAGCAGTCTGACTTTTCAACTATCCAGCTTTAAGCATCTTTATTTAGTTCATTCCCTTCATTAGGACTGGGCCAACTTGCTGTCAGATTACAGTTCCAAGTCTAAGAAGAAGTTAAATACCATGGACAGCTGCTTTCTAGGCCAATGACAGCCTAGCACCAGAACAGATCAGCAGATCCCTGCAGCCGGCCAGGCACAGGGCAAAAGGCACTGATTCTGGGAAACGACTGCTTCAGAGCCTGCAGGATTCAAATGTATTCCTAACCAGTTATTGACAGGTTTGAAGAAGAGAGCACGAATCATTTGTAAATAAAATATCCTGAATACAAAAAGTCTCTGCTTGGCATAGATATTTCTAAACCTTAGCCAATGGCCTACTTATTTCAAGCAAAATGTTACACAATAGAATTTCAGGACAATAAAGGCATTTGGAGGTTTCCTTGGAGTTTATGATAATACCTGACCAGTATATAGTTACTGCATAGGAACCAGGGCTTATGAATATTATAATATGACAAATATTAGATGCCCCTAAGGGACACACAGCCTGCTTAACTCAGCCATACACCAGTATAAATTTCATCTTCAAGGAATCTTTTATAATCCTTAAATCCAAAATGATTTATTCTGATTCACATTCATGAATGGCACAGGAAAAAGAAAGACCCTAAGATTTATTGAACAACCTATTTTTGCTGGGGACTTGCTGCATGCTTAACATCATCTCTTAATTTAGTAATTTTCCCAGTTTTATGAAGTAGATGTTATCTTCATTTTCCAAATTAGGAAACTGAGGTTTAGAGCATTTAAGTGACTTATCTGGGAACCCTGGGATTATTATAAAGTTTTAAAACATTCTTTTCTCCCTGAGTTAATGCCCCAGGGTCTTTACCATGTCATGACACTACACAACTTTTTAAAAAAGGTAATACCATCATGAAGAGAAATAATAACAAAATTAAAAAGGAAAAAGCAACAAAAACTAGCACAATGGACTAAGATGAGAAACTATTAATTTAACTATAAAAAATGCTAGCTCACATTTTTCCACGTTTCATAGTTGCCTCATGACATACAGTATCAGTAATGGAACCAAATTAAGGTTACCTCAGCTATGAAACAAGTGGTTTCAAAGATATTTCCTGGCCTAAAGCTCAGCAGCGTTGATAATGTTTTTAGCAAAAACCACTTGGTGATTTGTACAAGAATATTTATAAAGAGGTTTCCTTCACTTTCACAAACTCACATGTCCTATAACTGTGTAGATAAGACAATGAGATGACTTTCCATGAAAGCATACTTAGTATTTGCTTCTGAAATTCTCATATGGCACATTATGCTTTATAACACTTCACTGAGGGGCTACATTTACCTTAAGATTTTCTTAATAAGTTTATGATGATGTCAGAAGTACCAACTTCTATGGAAAAAAGCGGGCTGCAGAGCCAGACATCAACTCTTCATACTAGACAATTCTAGAAGGCCACATTGAGGATTCATGCTCTTTGGGACAACTTATGCTCAGGTCTTGGAGAGCCAACTTCTAACAGGCTCTGAAATCAGGCATATAATAAAAGCTGTACTTGCTAGAAAAAAATTTTTCCAGCAATGATTCAAAAGTGAAATTGGCAAGGTGAAATTTCCTGAAGGAAATCACAAATCACTATGCACTGTTCCACCTAAAAATGTATGGCTATGCTCTAGCATTTTTGATGAATATCAAATAAGATATAATTATGTTACACAAACACACACACACACACACACACACACACAACTCCAATTGGTTATTGAATACCAAAAGAAACAATATTAACTGAATGGAATAAGTTAAACTATTTGATGCTAAAAAGAAAATAATATAATGAACACATCTCAGGGACAACCAGTCATAGAAGAAATAGTTATAAATACAAACTGGTTTCTTTTTAAATTAGGTAAATCTAGAATTTCTAAACAAAACAAAACAAACGCACAATAGTAAGTATGCCACAAACTTATGGATATAAATAACAACTGCTAAAGAATATCAGCCAGAACTGATGACTTACAAATTATGGTAAAAATGATACAATGATCACATAACTGAGTAGATAAAAATCTTGTCAGGACTACTTTTTGAATGATGTGCAACTGGTTACATACAGTCTGTAGCCTATATTTATAAAGCCATTCCCCAAAAGTATGAAACCAACTTATTTCCACTCCTAAATAAGAATATAAAAATCTGCTGCAATCTTACGTACACCATTGGGTTACTTTGCAAATCCATTTTTCATGAATGTTGCCAACATAACCTTGAGCCAAGTCTGTGTCTAAGTTAATGAAGTTCTACTGTGGTATAATAAAACAAAAAAGGACTGAGTTTTCAAAAAGACCTTACTATGGCTATGCCTTGGATATTTAAAGACACCAAATCATTGTCTTGCCTCTAGAAAATGCACCTTTTTTTTTTTGATGATCAGTTGCTCAGTACTCTCATTGCAATAAACATAGAGGTTATTAATGCAAGCCACTCAAACAACCTTGTGGGGAGGTTTTGAGGAATCAGCTTCTTGGCTGCTGAGTTAAAGCAGGGAAGGTGGCTCCTTGAAGCATCTCTGTGTACTCAGTTGTCACTTCTGAAGGCTTGTTTACCAAATATTTTGCTAATCGACTTTTTTTTTTTTTTTTTTTAACTACATTTTCTAAAAAGAAACACTCACCGGAACTACAGTTTCTAACAAGTAACCATCACCGGGTCCAGGACTTGAAATATTAGGAAAAAATGCAGAACAAACTACTTTGCTTTTAAAAACTCGAAATATTACCAGAGTTCTTTTCTCTACTTTGCTTCCACTTTATGACTACTATAGAAATGATAACCATCAGTCTTGACTCTAAAGGCATTTTTTTAAATGTGGCTAAGTTAATATACATATACATATATTTGTTTGTATTGTTTTCGGTTTTTTTTCTTTCTGGACAAAATCTTCCACCCCCTACTCACACATCTGGTTTTTGCATATATGAGAATTTTCCCAATGCTAGCATGAAATGTCTCAGTATGTGTTTAGGTTTCCTGTTAAAATCACATTCAAGAATGACATTCCACTGTTAGGGTATAAATAAGAACTGCATTGTGATACAACATAAAATTTTATTGATGCTGTTTTTCTAACATTTGGAAACATGACTTACATTCTTGCAGATCGATTTCTTCTAAGCTCTTTACCAACTTGCTATCCACCCAAGTGGTAGGCTGGCCACTATGGTCATTAAGACTCCCTCAAATATTGCTGCAAAAATATTTTAGGCCATATTTCTTATGGCATGAAAAATGGGCCATGGAATGCATAGGCAGGTGGTAGGCTGGCCACGACTCCTACAGTGGACACTGGCCAGCCCCTGGGCAAGTGATCTAAAACATGTTTCTGTGGATAAAGAACAATGGCCTTGACCACTCTAGTCACCATAACTGTTGGGCCCTTGGCTGCTGACTTGAAGGTACACCTTTGGTGACAAAAACTCTCTTCCTTAAATATCTTTTTTCTTTTTTTGAGAGGTTTTTGCTATAGGGCGCGTGCGCTCACCAGACAGAGAGAAACAGAGAGACAGAAAGTGAGAAATCACCCCCCAGGGGGGATGGTCACACTGCAATCCCTTTTCCTCCATTCTTCTCTCGGGATCTTGGGCACGCTCGCACATGCGCCCGGCGTGAGTTTAAACCACCGGGTCCAGGACTTGAACCGCGGTCGACTATGTGGGAGTCCAGCAACATAGCCATTATGTTAACTACTGGTCCCTCTTCCTTAAATATCTTTAATGAAACACTTCTTGATGATTGTCAGGTGCCCATTTGAAATGAAAGAGCTCTGCCCCTAGTTAGGCATTTCCCATGAAAATTAAATTGTTCACAAAATCATTTTCCCTACTTTCAGAAAATAAGAGATGAATACCTGCCAAGTCTGATCTAGGATGCTTATGTAACCTCTATTTACAAACGTTTCACTCTGAAGCAAGTGGAGTGGGAATTTAGTAGACATCTTCCAGAATACCCCCAAATTATTTTTTTTATTACCATGGTAGTCTGGCTATCACAGAAGGGTAGGATATAATCTGCTCTCCACTACAGCCCAAAACACACCAAAGTTTTAACAAACTGCAGCTCTCAAAAACACAGTCATGTATAACTATGATCAAGAAGAACATTAAATAATCACCATCACCAACCTTTGCTTGGGCCTCTGGTGCTGTCACCTTGACGACTTTATTGCGGTTTATCAATTGCTTCACCCACTGTTCTACTTGGACGTTGAATTTCATGAAAACCACGTAGCCAAAATAAGCTGTTAAGAGAAGCAAACTTTCCCACCACTTGATAAAATTATCCAAGAAAAATATGATCAGCATGATCAAGTCAATGATGTAGAAAGACACATCTCGAAAGAGCGGCCACCATGTCAGGTTTAAGATTTCTCTAGAAAAGAGAGCACACATGCCAATAACAAAGAGGATATTGAACACTGCTGACCCTACAATCGTGCCTATGCCCACATTACTGTGAGCAATGAATACCCCTATGAGAGATGTGAAAAGTTCCGGAGCCGACCCTCCTGCAGCCATGAAGGTGGCTCCAGCCACATCATCAGAGATGCCCAGTTTTTCAGTGATGACAGTCAAAGAAGGAACAAAGAACTCATCACAGACAATGGCTAAGGCTATAAACATGTAGATCATTCCAATGACATGGAGAATGATGGCGCCTCTTCTTCGCTCCTCAAGGGAAAAGATGTCTCTGGGGTAGTCTCCTTCGGCATGATCAGCTTCAGTACTATTCTCAGATGTGTCTTCCTGAGAAAGAGATGGCTCTGGAGTGTAATCCCGAATCTTGTCATTTAAATCTAAGAGAGTTCTTTGACGGTAACCATGTGCTACCTTAGGGCCACTTCCAATACTGGCCTCTCCTGTGCTCTGTGTGTCTGTCTCAGGAAAGGCACTGATTGAAAATGGGACAGTGCTAATGGCTACCAGGCCCATGAAAAGGCCTAAGATTCGAATTAACTTCAGTTTTTTCCTGACATTATAATGTCTCCTGCAGCCAGATGGTGACTCATCCAAACACCATTTCTCAAAGAAAGTGATAGTGGTGCTTTGGTGCAGATCCATCCTGGGTCTTCTGGTGATGTGGTGGTCTTCAAACTTTAGATTCAACCAGATGCTTCTTTCATACTTTTCGTTACTTTATAGATAATGCTGCTTAAGAGGCACTTCCACAATCGGGTTCTTATGCTTCATAGGACATTTCCATCATGTATGCTTCAAAATAAAAACAAGGAGAAGTAAATGCTAAAATCATGTTTACAAAACAAAATGAAATGAGGACTTTGCAGATGTGGTAAAATCCTGTCCTAGCATAGCTATGTGATAAGGATAAGTTACCAACTCCTTGGGGCCTCAGTTTCCCCACCTAAAAATGGGAATAATGATAACACCTACCACCAAGGATGAATCCAAACCTAGAACAGGGTGTAGCTCTTAGCAGCACATATGATCATGTAGCTACAAGGGTGAATAAACATTCTGGAGAATCTAACCTTAGGTGTAGACAAGGTAGATGTGTGTCAATTCAACATTGTTACAAATGGAGACCCATCAGTGAATCGGGTAACAAATAACCTAGCGCTAAGACCATAGAGCTTTCAGAACTATCTAGGTACTTGACAACTAACGCTTATCACTGTGCTTCCTTTTAGTCCAATTATATAACCCCAGTTGTAGGCACACTTTCTTATTTAATCTACCTTCTAGAAAAGATTGCTGGAGGAGGCAGTACTCTCTTTGCACACATAATGATCTCGGGATCTTATTTTTCGTGAAAAGCCTCTCCTATATCAGCTGCAGAAAAGGAGCCCTTTAAACATTTAAGTTTACAAAAGAATGTTCTGGTGACCTGAACAAGTCATCCTCTCTAAACCTCTAGATATTGTTTTCAGCTAAAGGTTTATAAAACAATTAGTCGCATTTAAAAGAGCTTAACAACTCTCTACGCAGTAGACTATTTCGGGCGATCGAATGTGGTTTTCATAAACAATATGCAAGTTGCCATAATACCTCTGTCTATCAAATCTGCCCCAGATAGCCCCAGCCCTGACTCTTTACTAGGATAGATCCTCAAAGCAAGCGAGTTTTCACTCCCCATCCCATGGAGATGCTTGGTAAAATACCCAGAATCAGACAGTTGACATTTTTAAGATTCATTGCTCTTTTAAATTCTTTCAAAACATGTTTTTCTATATCAACAATTTCATTTCAGAGGCTTTTGCTGAGATCCTCTCAGGTGTAAAATAAGCTAATTAAACACACGCCACTTAAGCACAGATTAGCCGGAGCTCAGGTTTTCAGAGCAAAGCAAGAGCACAAGTCAAACCAAGCTGAGTTGCTGCTACTCCTGGGATAACCCGAACCCATCACAGAGATTGTTAGCTGGCTGCGGAGGTCGACGCTTAGCACGAACGATTAAGCGACTCACAGCACTCCGGGGATTGTCACGATGCTGGGCAGGGGCTACTGGCAGAGACGGACTTAACTCTGGGGCGCTCGATCAGCTCCAGTGTGAGCTGAGCTCGCCTTGCAAACCCACCGCTCGGTTCTCTGGAGCTGCCTCTGCAGGCAAAGTGCGCCCCCAGCCGCGCCCCAACTTTGCCTTGCGTGGTCCCAAACTTTCCCTGGTGGGTTAATAGGAAAATAAAACTGAAGAACAGACGCATTACCTGCGAGGTGGGAGCTAGAATGCATCTGGGGAGGCGCTTGGCCCGCATCTCCCAGGATTGTCTGTGGGTGTCTGGGGAAGAGGAGCGCCCCTCTGTGCCTCTCTCCCCACCGCAGGCCCTGCCCCGCGCCCCCCACCTCGAGCCACAAGCAAAGGTGTGAGCGGTAGGGGCTCGGAAACCATTCCAAGAAGGGAGAGAGTTGGCTAACTCCCAGCGGGGCCTGAGGCGCCCACATCCACAGCGGAGCCACCTGTGAGCCTGCGGCGCAGCAGCGGGATGCGCGCCACCGGGATCTGGGGACAACGACCACCGGCCACAGTGGCTGGCGGCTGGCCCGGCGCAGTCGCTGGTACTTACCGGGATCCGCTAGGAGGAACGCGCACACGCACACTGCGGGGGCCAAAGCGCAGCCCGCCGCTCGGGTCTGCAGCCTTCTCCGGCCCTCCGCCTGCACGCTCCGAGGCCCGGGCTCTGGCTCGTGCTGGCCGCCGCTCTAGCTAGCAGGGGCTGGGCTCGGGAGGAGCCCGAGGCGCCGTGAACC